TTTATGAATAAATGCTGTAACTAACCAAAAAAGGTGGGAAAAACTTAGGTTTTAATCGATTTTTCTTCTTTTCTATTTACGTAATGATTCTGAAAAAGAGCAAGGATAGTTGTAGTTGTAGTTTAATTCTTATGATCATATTGAGAATGTTTTTTATCAACATATTTTTATCATGTAGAATCAATAGAAATAAAAAGACATCGATTTTTTCAATATTTATTCACAATTAAATTTAGTAAAAAGCAAACTTTATTCAATTTTATGCCAAAATAAATTCGTGTGTTTACAATCTGGATCTTTGCAGCGAATAGTAAATGTCCGATTATTTATGTCAATAAAAATTGCAGACGTGTTTCTTTTATGATGTCTATTTATAAGAGGACAAAATCTATATTCACCTCCTATGTTAAAAAATATCACATCTGAATTATGATTACCATGAACGTATGATCGAATATAGCCTAAATGAGACGGATCACTTGTAATTAGCTTTTCTACAAATGATTTAAATTTTTCTATAGTTGTGTCCAATAAATCAGTTTTAATAGGTCTTGTAATAGATGAAGAAAAATTTGATCTGTTACGATTAGATCTATTTGTATAGTTTGTTGAACTGAGATAAAAATTTTTCATATGATGATTGAGTTTATTTACATTAATCAATTCACAAGTTTGAAATATTGATTTATCAACAATATCTAGCTCTTCATATACAAATTGATTATCTTTTTCCGATAATATAAATACATTGGTTTTTTCATGATACGTTAATAATGAGTTTTTCAATATTTCATTATATGAATATTTAACGGATTGAGCAGATGTTAAAGAAAGACTTTGAATTAATGCATTTGCTTTTTGTTTTTTTACACAATCAAATAAACGAAATTGTTGATTTTTTGAATAAACACCTAAATCAATAGCCAAAGTATATTGATTTTCTTTATTTAAAACTAAAAGATAGGCAACTTCTGCAACCGTAAGAAATTTCGAATATATATAACATTCTCTACAAGATGTACGTAATAGATTAACATATTTTCCTAAAAAATCGATTAAACTTGGGATGGTGCATTTTTCTAATGATTGAGTAATATGGAACGATGTACATTTATGTTTGATAATCATCCAAAGAAAAAAATGAATTGTAACTTTAAAAAACAAGCCGAAAGTTTGATTATTATCAAAAAGAATGTTTTCATTTGTATGAATAAAATGGTATGATATTTTTTGTGAAGTCGATCTAAAAATAAGAATTTTTATAAATAATTCATAACAAAAATTGCAAACGAAAGGATACATTTACAATACATAGAGAAAAATATTTATTCAACAACAGTGTTTTTTTCAATAGAATATTTACAGTGGTTTGCAAAAAAACTTGGCCTCATTTATTTTCAATAGTACTTTGGCAAAATTCATTTATTTCTGTTGGTTCCAGATTGGCTAGGTAGCTCACAAAGAACACTACGTATTAGTGTATTTAGATTTATTTTGCATCCATGCTGGAAAGAAAAATGAAGCAAGTAAGTGTTTCAATTGGAAGGTACAAAAAGCAATTACACGTTTTTTAGAGATTGTTTTTCGTTTTTTATCTATTTATTTAATTGAGAATAATTCAAAATGAGTTCAATAAGTTTTCCTCAATTTGAACATCGATTTTAACAAGCTCTCATACTTATAAAAAAGGGATTTAAAGGCAGTCAATTTTTCCATAGATTGAAAATTTTTTGAAAATTCTCGCCTATTTCAATCCCTATTCTAAAATCAGTTCTGTAAATTTTGAGTCTCCATAATGGAATAGTTACTTGACATTGCCTTCTAGTTCTTACAATCGTCGATTCAAGTTCATCACGAGGCTGCTCTATTATACTGTAATCTTTTTGGCACCTTCCAATTATAAAAGTTCTGTCCTTTAGTTTTCTAGTGAGTGCAAATGGAAAATAAATCAAAATATACCTACACGTAGTACTCTTTGTGAGCTATCCAACCATACTTGAAACTACTCAAAATCAAAGAATCTTACGGCCGCAGGACTGAAAATATGAGGCCTAGCTTTTTTGCAAACCACTGTATATTGGTAATGAGAAGTATATGAAAAAAAATACTTTCATTTGAGATATTCAAATAAAAATTAAATATAACTTACGCTTCCAAAACAAGGAATTTTTGAAAGATAAAATCAATATTAATATTTTGATTATAATTAAATTTTTCGTCGAAATTTAATAATAAATGAAGTATTTTAAGACAACAAATTGGTCCAATACGACAATCATCAGTATCAGAATTACAATTAATATAATATTCAAAATCGATATATGCTTTCACATGTTGTTCAGAACAAATTAATTCATAAATAGAACGTTCAGATACTGGACAAGATTGATATACATTAATCAGTTCATCTAATGTTAAATAACAAAATCGACGACTATTAGTATCTGTTTCAATACTTATTTAAATATATTTATTATTGGATTTATCATTTGATACACTGTCAAGTAAATCAGATATTCGATGAGTGATGATTTTATTCGGATAAAGACGTTTAATTAATTTTTCAACAAAAGTCATATTGATACTTAAACTTCTAAAACAGAAATCAGACTATCTATTGCGCTTAAATTTTTCTTGTCATTTACACTAATATAGAAATATTAGTTTGATATAAATAAATAATCTATATTAAATGGCCACATGTTTCATGTTCCAAAAAAAAATCATTATTGTATAAAAGAAATTTTAAATAAGTTGTTTTTCTAATGCAATTTCCCTCAAACAATCAAATAATTTTGTAAAGAATACAAATATTCTTATTTGTTTTAATTTGTTTATAAATTAATTATTTTTATGTATTTCTTTGGATAATTCATGAATATTACTCAATTAATTAAGGATATGATCATTTTTACCCTTGGTTTATTAATTATTAAATAAAAATAAAGAATAACGTTATGATCTTTGATTTTGTATCACGTTTCATTTATTGAGATTATGCAGAAAAAAAAAGCCATACTTAAAATATTGACAATCTCATGATAGATCGATTACAATCCAAACTCTTATAGATGGATCTTCTTGTCTTCTTAAATATTCAATCAATTATAATAACTACACTTCCTTTTTTTTTTCTTTGTGCCTTTTCCTATCAATAAATTCACGAAGAAATATTTTCTTCTTTATGATTCTTTATTAAATAAATTAAATTGAAATAAATAATAAAATCAAACACCACGTTGAACATTTATTCGTGAACAACAATAACATTCGATTGAATTGATAACTCACAAGGAAAATAAAATGCAAAATTATTTATTTATTTATTTTTTAATAGAATTCAAGATTAAATACGAATTGTGTATTCATTTTATCGAGTTAATTTGGCAGCACTTTCATTTGTGTATTAGCTAAGCTAACCAAAAATCGTGTACCTAAAGAAAAACAAAAAATTAAGCTAGTAGTCATAACAATAAGAATAATGAGCTTCTTGTGTTCGGTTCAACAATAGAATTCTATTTGATTTATTTTATTACATACCATCAAACCATGATATTTTTACATTTTTAAATCTAATTCGATCATTAATCATAGGTTTTTTCACAAGACGAGCCTGAGAAAATGTATTATTATGTGGAATTGATAAACAAATATTAGTTTTTTATCTTACTTGTTCATTCCATAATGTCATACCAATATGAGATCCATCTTGATCAACATGTATATCACGTCGACTCCATATTGTTTCATTTTTTGTACCAGTTGAAATACCAAAATCACGTAAAACACGAACTTCAACATCTAAAAGAGTTTAACATTGAAATTATATCATGTGTATAGATTTTTTCTTCTATTAAATGAAGTAAGGAAGGTAACCATAAATTTATTCATATTTTTATTTTCTTTTTACCAGAATTGATTATGTGTTTTGGTTGCAAGATATGATATTTCATATGATATTAGAAAACTAATTATTTGTGTATCGTGACACTGTCATCATCTACTCCAATTCAATTCTTTTTATCAATCATGACTTCTATTAAATGAAGAATCTATCACCTTTTCCTTCGAATCAATGGAGAATATGTGTCATACTAATAATAATCCTAACATCAAATAATCACCACAAATAATTGCCAATTTATGAAAATATTTTTTTAGTTAAACAAATATTAAATCTTACCAATTATGGAATTCATTGGAAGACTATTGATTTGGTTTAGTGGTGTGAAATTATATGTGTTTTCTTCAAGAACAAATGGTGGATCAATTTCACGTACACGTGTTCCATTTGTACATGTCAATTGAAAAGGATGTGGCAACGTTTTGTAAATATCCACTGCAGATTTAATTGTTAAATTTGTAAATTCGTATGCCTATAAAAGAAATGACAAAAACACTGATTAATTTCGATTTTTTTTCTGTACTTGATTCTTTTTCAATTTATCAGCCATTATATGGGAATTTAAATTGAAAGCCACCAATGTAATTGAACCTGATTGATCAGTTAAATCCCAATTTGAAATTTCTCCAGTACCATGTCCATTTGTAAAAGTTCGTTTAGGATAAATACAAGTAACAAATGCAAGAATTTTCCATCTATATTTGAATAAAAACAAAAGTAAAAATCAAGAACCGAAAATTTTCTCCTAGGACATATGTCAACTTATTTGTTAACAAAGACTCAATTGATTTTAATCATAAAGCCATAGACATATCTTAAATACTTACAGAAATGTAATATCGGTATTGATATCATTGATATTAATCAAAGTTGGTTCAACTGCTAAAAAATAAAATAAACATAAGAAAAAAAAGAATTTCGAAATGCGATCTATCTGAAGTGAGATTGGGTATTATCGACTCAATTAAAATTTGTTTATGTTCAAATGATTCAATTTAATTGAATTAATTCATACTGCAAACTTCAAATCAATAAAAGAAGACGTTTCGGAAATATTTGTTTTATTTCATGAAGAAGAATGAATCGTTTCGTCAATATAAATTCAAAATCTTAGTAGTATTTATAATAACTTACTTGTTGGAATAGCAGTTTGAGATATATTTATATCTTCTTTCTTATCATTATGATCATCTTCTTCTACTGTATTATGCAAACTATTATCAGTTCTAGAACAACAATAAAATGATGTTAATTAGTGATGAACAAAGATGAAAATTAATGCAATTTACGTTGTTACACAAATACCATCAACTATTTGTTCCAGTGTATGAGAAATTTCATCGTCCATATTAATTTGAATATCTGAAATAAATGATGAATGTAAATAAATCAAAAACTTGTTGGATAGAGTAATTGAGTATACAATCTAGCTAACTGAATGTAATAAATGCTATCCTAAATCTTTTTATATTTAATCCTCTATCTCTTGACAATATTTCGAGCAGCAGGGTTGTTGTTTGGGAAAAAAAAATTTCTAACTCGTTATTAAATATTGGATAATACTAATAAATATTTTTTTGTATCGAATAAATAGCCATATATGACGATACATCAGGTAAAAAAAGTCGATTTTTGTTTAAGATGACCGTGAATGCTGTGCCGATAAATGATATAAAAGTAAGTTTTCGGATCAATTCGTTTTAAGTCAGATAAAAAGTTTATGGAATATGTGTTGGAATTGACGAATAAATTTATGATGCATGAAAGAAGTATAAGATAAGGTATTACATTAAGAAGAATTAGTTGAAGTGTGAAATAACACAACGAAACTAATCAAATGAGAAACAAAACATTTTAAAAATGGCTCGAAACTAAATTAAATCAATTGATGTTTTTTATTCTAATCGAAAGAGAAGAAAAAAAGAGGAAAAGCGAATTGAAAAAGTTGATCATTTTTGACAATATTTAATGAAAAAAAGTTTCAATGTATAATTTAATTTAATGAAAAGATCAGATTGAATAGGAGGAAGATTGATGAAATATTTCATAAATATTTCGTTTTTGTATTAATACGATCCGCATGAGTTTTGAAAATCAATGTGTTATACAAATAAATTGGTTATTGAGCCAAGTTATGATCCTGGGAAGTGAGCGAAAGTTTATTCAGTCGACGTTTTCATTATGAAACACCACAATAGTATCCACTGAGGCTTATGTAAAGTGTAATTTGGTTCGCAGCCTAACTAGCCGTAAGCTTAAAGCGTCTCTGTGAAGTTGTTTTTATACCGTAAACATCAACTGAATAAACCTTGGCTCACGAAAAGGTTGCCTTACTTCGCAGAACCCTAAGTTATTTAATTATATGGAATATTTTGTGTACAGTTATTTCTGATGTTTAAAAGATTACATTATTCTTTTTCAACATTGTTTACTGCACATATAATAAAAAAGAAAAATATCTGAAAGAATTTACGATTGAAAACAATACTTATTTGTTGAATTATTTGCTCATAGGTTTCTTTATACGTTAAAAAAAAATGAATATCATATTATTTTGTTCTAGTTTATCAAAACGAAATGAAAAGTATTTTCCTTTAAGATACAAAACTAAAATATCTAATATTGATTTTTTATTATCTTACATAGATTGAACTATTATGAGTAGTATAGATCTGAGTTTATGATAGAAAGGTATTCATATGATATAAAAACGTATTTTTATCTAATGATAAAGTGAGTCTTTTCTATAACTTGGTAATTTATTTGCATAGAAAATTCATTTTGTCTCAAATATTTTCTAAAAGGAATTGTTAAATAAATTTATTACGCAATCGATAAGATTTATTTTTTAGGTATTCGAATATTTTTAACAAGACATTGAAATGAAAGAATCAAATATTGTTTTTACATGAAATAGCTTTACCACGATGACATTTAGTACAACATTTGATAAGCCTTTTTTTACACGGACAACGATTACTCTCACAAGATCCTATACATTTGCAAGGTCTATTTGTTTTAAATTTAGTGAATATTTGACAAGCTTGAATAAATGTAATATTTGCTAATTGAGTTATATCTGTTTTACGTAAATCGGATGAGACGGTTTGAGTCAAATCCATAAATTCAGATGATGAAAATAATTCACTAATAATACCATCTTGTGTGGCTAATTTATAAAATACATTAATAGGATCATCCTTTTTAATTATTTTAATGATTTTGCAAGGTAAAATAGATGGTGCTGTATTTGAACGATCAACATCTGCTATTTTTAAACCAATAATATCATTTATTTCGAAAGATTTTTGTTTTTTCAATGCACGTTCATAAATTTTCAATTGACGTTCTAAAATTTATATCAATATGTTTTTAGACTATCAATCAATTAAACAAAAATTCAAACATCATACCTGCTGTATGAATGTAATTTTTTTCAGCTTCATCTCGAATTCGTTTATGTGATGTTTCTGTCAATTCTCTAATGTAAAATAAAAAACTGGATCTTCAATTACATATAAAAGGCTTAGTTATTTACTTAACAGGTAAAATCATATGTGAATCAATAGATGATATACATGTTGAAGTTTCATCAGAAATTTGGCTTTGATCATTCATATTAATCTAAATAAAACAAAAATAATCAGACATATAGAGAAAGAACTTGAAATTTTACAGAAACTGAAGTAGTAACAGTATTTAATTTTTGAAGAAATGAATCAAGTAGATCTTCTTCATTAACAGTTGAATCACTTGTCGATAATTCTTTATGTAATTCTAACCAAAATTCATGATCAATTCTGCATGGTTGACCGAAGACCATTTCATATGGTGTTTTCTTTGTACTTTGCGAAGTACAATTATTGATTGACAACATAACAGGTCCTTTAAAAGAAAAAACGAGCAATATGGTAATATAAAATATTTTACAACGACATATCAATTTTATTTTCTTTCATTTACCTAAACCACTTGGCCAGTCAGAAGTTTTGTTTACATCGAGCCATTTGCCTAGCATTTGTTGAACGACAGCATTGGCTCTTTCAACAAGACCTTGACTTTGTGGATGCCGTGCACGTCCATTAATGATTAATAAATCTGGCCAATCGTTTTTTAAGTTCAGAATTACATTCGCTCTAAAGAAAGAATGATTTAAGAGACCTTCCATGAGCTGATCGAGCATCGCTCCAATGTACGAGGCACTCGACAAAATTTTTTTTTCGATTTTTTTGTTCATTCAAAACTTCAACGTGTAAAACTACTAACCCTAAAATTTTAGGTTCGGATACCCTTCCTATAAAAAGTTAGTCAATACCGACTTTTAGCACTATCACAACTTTTTGAGGAGAAAAAAAAAAAGAAAAAATATCCTATAAAAGATGTACCAGCTTACGTTTCAACAGATTGTTGAAAATTTTCACGGTATATAGGGGTGCAACAAATCTTGTAAAGATTTGGAGTTTGTGACCAAATCCTTTGGGTTTGGATGTGGGTTTGCGTTTGGAGTAATGTTTGTACCTATGTTTGAGATTTGGGATTTGGATTTGGATTTGGTTTGGGATTGGGGCATAAGATTTGGATTTGGCATTGGATTTGTGGATAAGATTTGGATTTGGTTAGTGGATTTGTGCATTTTAAGATTTGGTTTTGGCTTTGAGATTTATAAAAACCATAGCTATGGAGGTATCTATAGGTCCTCATAGACTAGCCTATAGGGGTCTCCATAGGTCCTTATGAGCTATTATATGGAGGTACCATAGGTCCTAATAGGCTATCCTATGGAGGTACCATAGGTCCTCATAGGCTATCCTATGGAGGTACCTATAGGTCCTCATGGGCTATCCTATGGAGGTACTCATAGATCCTGAAGGGCAATCATATGGAGGTACCTATAGGTCCTCAAGGGCTATTATATGGAGGTACCCATAGGTCCTCAAGAGCTATTATATAGAAGTACCCATAGGTCCTCATGGGCTATTATGTAGAGGAGCCCATAGGACCTCATGGACTATCCTATGGAGGCACCCATAGGCCCTTAAGGACTATTATAAGGGGTACCCATAGGTCCTCAAAGGCATCCTATTGCGGTACTCATAGGTCCTCAAAGGCTATATTATGCGGATACCCATAGGTGCTCAAGAGGTATCCTATGGGGATAACCATAGGTGCTCAAGGGCTGTCCTATGGGGTACTCATAGGTCCTCAAAGGTTGTCCTATGGGGATAGCCATAGGTCCTCAAAGACTATTCTATTGGGGTACTCATAGGTCCTCAAGGGCTACATTATGGGGATACTCATAGGTCCTCAAGGAGTATATTATGGGGACACCCATAGGTCTTCAAGAGCTATTATATGGGAGTACCTATAGTCCCTGCAGGCAGTAAGAGAATCTTCTATACATATAATATTCAGTGTCTCCCTGTGCCAGGTCAAAGGTCGAATAAGAGTATAGGTGGGTAACATTAATAAGGGATAATGCTATAGAAGTATGGACTGTAAGGTGGGAGGATAAAGCTATAGAAGGGTAAAGCTATAAAGTGTAAGACAAGAAATGGTAGAGCTATAACTGAGTGAGGCTATAGAGTAAGGAGTGATAAAGGAGATAAGGCTAAAAAGGGGTACGGCTATAGACGGATAAGTCTATAGACGAATGGGATATGAAGGAGGTAAGTCTATAGAGGAATGTACTGTGAGTGATATGAAATAAGGCTATAGAGGGGTGGATTGCAAGAGAAGTTATGCTATAGAAGGGTAAGACCACAATGGATTAAAGTTATAGAGGGATAAGATTACAGAGGGGAAGGGGTACAACTAGGTAAGGCTATACCCTCTATAATAGCCCATGAGAACCTATGGGTACCTCCATAGGATAGCCCATGAGAACCTATGGGCACTTCTGTATAATAGCTCTTCAGGACCTATGGGTACCTCTATATAATAGCCCTTGAGGACCTATGGGTGCCTCCATATAATAGCCCTTGAAGACCTATGAGTACCTCCATAGGATAGCCCATGAGGGCCTATGGGTTCCTCCACATAATAGCCCATGAGGACCTCTGGGTACTTCTATATAATAGCTCTTCAGGACCTATGGGTACCTCTATATAATAGCTCTTCAGGACCTATGAGTATCTTTATATAATAGCCCTTGAGGACCTGTGAGCACCTCCATATAATATCCCAAATCGAGACCCAAATCCTAAGCATCAGATCAAAACCCAAGTCTACTATACCAAATCCAAATCTATAACAAATCCAAACGATCTCATATCAAATCCGAAGGCTCCGTACTTATTCCACCCTTATCGATCTTTATCGTACAGAGTCAAGTTGGATTTTGGTAATTTAAGGCCAAATCCAAGCCCAAATCCAAATCCAGATGAAAACCAAATCTTTGTATACCAAATCCCAAGGCTTTGGATTTTTTGCACCCTAACGGTATACATAAGAAGATAGAGAATTAAAAGCTGAACAAAATAAGCTATTTTAATATAATATAATCTCTAACAATTCTAGTTTGAATAAGCTAATATGAGTCAAAGGTGGTCATTTTGATCAGTTCAAATAAAACAGTGTATCTCCTGCTGTGCTTCAGCTTTAAGAGATACCAGACTGAATTTTATATATGTTGTGCAACTTTTTATTCTCTACAAAATGGTAAAAAAAATATTTGAGAAAAAATTTCACATTGATGCAAAGAATGGCTTACACCTTCGAATTTTCCATGGTTTTTTTGTGATTTTTCAATAGAAAATGAACGTTTTTAGCGATTTGCATTGGTATGACCTAATGATAAATCAAAATAAATACGATATCCGGAATCGGCACGAAAACTGCATCTATCTATATATGTTTTAACGAAAAATTTTTCCTGGCCAAGATTGACCTATGAGGGACCAGGGGGAAAAATTTCCTTTGACATAAAGCTGTCGGGGAGTACAGGTCAATTTTTAGCCACAAAAAAAATTTCGCTAAAACATATATAGATAGATGCAGTTTT